GCCAATCTGTGTCTTCTGGTGGGAGCATTCAGTCTATTTACATTTAAGGTAATTTTAGATATGTATGTTCCTATTCCCATTTTCTTAATTGTTTTGGGTTTGTTATTGTAGGTCTTTTCCTTCTCTTGTGTTTCTTGCCTAGAGAAATTCCTTTAGCATTTGTTGTAAAGCTGGTTTGGTGGTGCTGAACTCTCTCAGCTTTTGCTTGTCTGTAAAGGTTTTAATTTCTCCATCAAATCTGAATGAGATCCTTGCTGGGTAGAGTAATCTTGGTTGCAGGTTTTTCTCCTTCATCACTTTAAATATGTCCTTCCAGTTCCTTCTGGCTTGCAGAGTTTCTGCTGAAAGATCAGCTGTTAACCTTATGGGGATTCCCTGGTTTGACATTTGTTGTTTTTCCCTTGCTGCTTTTAATATGTTTTCTTTGTGTTTAATTTTTGACAGTTTGATTAATATGTGTCTTGGCGTATTTCTCCTTGGATTTATCCTGTATGGGACTCTCTTTGCTTCCTGGACTTGATTAACTCTTTCCTTTCCCTTATTAGGGAAGTTTTCAAGTATAATCTCCTCAAATATTTTCTCAGTCCCTTTCTTTTTCTCTTCTTCTTCTGGAACCCCTATTATTCGAATGTTGGTGTGTTTAATGTTGTCCCAGAGGTCTCTGAGACTGTCCTCAGTTCTTTTCATTCTTTTTTCTTTATTCTGCTCTGCAGTAGTTATTTCCACTATTTTATCTTCCAGGTCACTTATCCGTTTTTCTGCCTCAGTTATTCTGCTATTGATCCCATCTAGAGTATTTTTACTTTCATTTATTGTGTTTTTCATCATTGCTTGTTTCATCTTTAGTTCTTCTAGTTCCTTGTTAAATGCTTCTTGTATTTTCTCTATTCTATTTCCAAGATTTTGGGTCATCTTTACTATCATTATTCTGAATTCTTTTTCAGGTAGACTGCCTATTTCCTTTTCATTTGTTAGGTCTGGTGGGTTTTTGTCTTGCTCCTTCATCTGCTGTGTGTTTTTCTGTCTTCTCATTTTGCTTATCTTACTGTGTTTGGGGTCTCCTTTTTGCAGGCTGCAGGTTCGTAGTTCCCGTTGTTTTTGGTGTCTGTCCCCAGTGGCTAATGTTGGTTCAGTGGGTTGTGTAGGCTTCCTGGTGGAGGGGACTAGTGTCTGTGTTCTGGTGGATGAGGCTGGATCTTGTCTTTCTGGTGGGCAGGTCCACGTCTGGTGATGTGTTTTGGGGTTCCTGTGGAGTTATGATTTTAGGCAGCCTCTCTGCTAATGGGTGGGGTTGTGTTCCTCTCTTGCTAGTTGTTTGGCATAGGGTGTCCAGCACTGTAGCTTGCTGGTCAGTGATTGAAGCTGGGTGCTGGTGTTGAGATGGAGATCTCTGGGAGATTTCTGCCACTTGATATTATGTGGAGCTGGGAGGTCTCTTGTGGACCAGTGTCCTGGTTGGCTCTCCCACCTCAGAGGCACAGCACTGACTCCTGGCTGCAGCACCAAGAGCCTTTCATCCACTCGGGTCAGAATAAAAGGGAGAAAAAGTAGTAAGTAAGTTAGTAAGTAAGTAAGAAGGAAGGAAAGAAAGAAAGAAAGAAGATAAAGTAAAATAAAATAACGTAAGATAAAATAAAATAAAGTTATTAAAATAAAAAATAATTATTATGAAAAAAGATTTTTTTTAAAGAAAAACAAAACAACAAAAACAAAACGGACGGATAGAACCCCAGGACAAATGGTGGAAGCAAAGCTATACAGACAAAATTTCACACAGAAGCATACACATACACACTCACAAAAAGAGGAAAAGGGGAAAAAATCATAAATCTTGCCCTCAAAGTCCACTTCCTCAATTTGTGATGATTCGTTGTCTATTCGTGTATTCCACAGATGCAGGGTAGATCAAGTTGATTGTGGAGCTTTAATCCGCTGCTTCTGAGGCTGCTGGGAGATATTTCCCTTTCTCTTCTTTGTTCTCACAGCTCACAGGGGCTCAGCTTTGGATTTGGCCCCGCCTCTGTGTGTAGGTCGCTGGAGGGTGTCTGTTCTTCGCACGGTTAAAGGAGCAGCTGCTTCGGGGATTCTGGCTCAGGCCGGGGGAAGGGAGGAGTACGGCATGGCATTGCGCCTCAGTTGCACCAGCCTGACGCGCGCCGTACGTTCTCCCGGGGAAGTTGTCCCTGGATGCCGCGACCCTGGCAGTGGCGGGCTGCACAAGCTCCTCGCAGGGCTGGTGTGGATAGTGACGTGTGCTCGCATACAGGCTTCTTGGTGGTAGCAGCAGCAGCCTTAGCGTCTCATGTCTGTCTCTGGGGTCCGCGCTTTTAGCCGCGGCTCGCGCCCATCTCTGGAGCTCCTTTAAGCAGCGCTCTTAATCCCCTCTCCTCGCACACCAGGAAACAAAGAGGGAAGAAAAAGTCTCTTGCCGCTTCGGCAGGTCCAGACTTTTCACCTGGCTAGCCGTGGTGCACTAACCCCCTGCAGGCTGTGTTCAAGCTGCCAAAACCAGCCCTCTCCCTGCTCTCCAACCGAAGCCCGAGCCTCAGCTCCCAGCCCCGCCCACCCCAGCCGGTGAGCAGACAAGCCTCTCAGGCTGCTGAGTGCCGGTCGGCACCGACCCCCTGTGCGGGAATCTCTCTGCTTTGCCCTCCGCACCCCTGTTGCTGTGCTCTCCTCTGCGGCTCCGAAGCTTTTCCCCTCCGCCACCCTCAGTCTCTGCCCGCGAAGGGGCTTCCTAGTGTGTGGAAACCTTTCCTCCTTCACAGCTCCCTCCCACTGGTGCAGGTTCTGTCCCTATCCTTTTGTCTCTGTTTTTTCTTTCTTCTGTTGCCCTACCCAGGTATGTGGGGAGTTTCTTGCCTTTTGGGAGGTCTGAGGTCTTCTGCCAGCGTTCAGTAGGTGTTCTGTAGGAGTTGTTCCACATGTAGATGTATTTCTGGTGTATCTGTGGGGAGGAAGGTGATCTCCGCATCTTACTCTTCCGCCATCTTCTTTACGATCCGCCCCTTACATTTTAAATGGTATGTTATGGATCCTTAGAAATATTCTGGTTTACAATATTATACATTATAGAGCCCTTGTTTAATAATAAATTTAAAAGTATCCAATTTTTTTTTTTTTTTTTTTGCGGTATGCGGGCCTCTCACTGTTGTGGCCTCTCCCGTTGCGGAGCACAGGCTCCGGACGCGCAGGCTCAGCGGCCATGGCTCATGGGCCCAGCCGCTCTGCGGCATGTGGGATCTTCCCGGACTGGGGCACAAACCCGTGTCCCCTGCATCAGCAGGCGGACTCTCAACCACTGCGCCACCAGGGAAGCCCAAAAGTATCCAATTTTTAAGTAGAAAAATTGGTTTCTTCCTGCCTCCGTTAGGTAGATGTTGAACAAATATGTAGAGAAAATCCATTTCAGTGGGTCTGCCAGGAGTGCCCACAGATTTTGGTCCAGACCCAGGAGGCTTCTATATATGGGATATTGTAGGAAGGGTGGATTTGGGGAGGAAGGTGATTAGTTCAGTTTTGGGTATGCTGAAATTGAGGGGCCTATAGGTAGGACTGATATTCGAAACATTTACAGCCAATAGATACAAACAGGGATTAGTCAGGTTGGCTGCCTGACTGGTTCGAATAGACACCATCAATAAAACAGTTGGTGAGGCTGTACCTGTGGAGACTGACTAAAAATCGGCCCTCCCCACAGGATATCCAGGTAGGAAGCTGGCACTGTGGAGCGAGAATTTACAAGCAAAGTTGGGCTGGCGGATGGATAATGTTTACCCAATCCTTAGGAATTAATTGGATTGGCATGAAATGGGTGTGGATAAAGCCTGGGAACGAGTGAGGAAGAGAATTGAGTGAGAAGGAGTGGGCAAAAAAGGTGAGAAGAGAACCAAAACCAAACAGTATCCCAGAAATCAAGAAAAGAGAATTTTAAGGATGGAATGATTGGTCAACAGGAGAGCAAAAGCCCATCAACTTGGCAGCTTAAGCTGTGACAAAGCGAGAGAGAGGCATGGACATATATACAGTACCAGATGTAAAAGAGATAGCTAGTGGGAAGCAGCCGCATAGCACAGGGAGATCAGCTCGGTGCTTTGTGACCACCTGGAGGGGTGGGATAGGGAGGGTGGGAGGGAGGGAGACGCAAGAGGGAAGAGATATGGGAACATATGTATGTGTGTAACTGATTCACTTTCTTATAAAGCAGAAACTAACACACCATTGTAAAGCAATTATACTCCAATAAAGTTGTAAAAAAAAATGGTGAATATGGTGGAAATGGATGAATAGATTTGTGCCTGTAACAGGTACAGACAAGTCCTCTAGCAGTGTTTTAAGTAGTTTTCTGTCTCATCATAAAGGTATATCACACTTATCGTACACTGTTTGGGAAATACAGAAAGGTGGAGAATTTCAGCCTTCTGGAACCTCTGACCCAAATACCTGGGCCAGCTGAGAACGACAGTCCCAGAGGCGTGCTCACCACCGGCATCCTGGGTGGCACAGGGATACTGCTGAGTTGGACTCCTGCCAAAGCACTCCATCAATTAGAGAGGGCGTTGCTGGCTTCGGGCTGCAAACAGTGGTGCCCAGGAGAAATCTCCCTGCCGAGGCTGCCTCTCTGTATCTGTGGCAGGGGGATCTCAACGTGGATAAAGAGAAATGGCAATTAACTAGACCTTTCCTTAATCAGTTTCCCCCTGCGCCAAAACTATTTGAACACATACCGTCTGACAGCCCACTTCAGTCTCTCAGTACTTGACACCTTCCTCCTTTTGAAAGGATTGAGACGGATGGAAAGGTTTGGTAGGAAGATAGGAAAGATGGAAAATCAGGAATAACAATTGAGTAGTTCCGGAGAAGGGGAACAGAGTTACTGTGGGAAACCAACAAGTCATTTCAAAGTGATTATGCTCCTTGGAGCAAAGGTAGAAAATGCCATGAAAAGAAGAATGTTGCATTCATGCTTCTGTTTTGTTTTTCCCTGTCTCATCACTCAGCTACGTGGTGATCAACTCAGACTCTGACGATGAATACCTCTGTGAGCAAAAGAGAGCTAAGATAGCTGAAATACATAGCAAAGGCAAGTATACTACTAACTTAGAGAAGGTGCAGCCTCACCATGCACAGTCATCTCAGGATGAAAGTCAGCAAATGTTCTATTCTGAATAATTTCGTAGTGAGTGCCACTGTTTTTTCCTCCTATGTGCTGGATGTGGATATGGCTGGGTTCCCCGCACCGCCTGGTCAATTTCCTAACATAGCAGCAACTGTTCTTGCCTGCCTTAGACCCCAGGCATCGCCCTCAGTAGAGTTCTTAGCTACCCAGCGTTACATCGCGGGAGCAGAGGGAAGTCAGGAATTAAGCCTGATTAGCGTGAAGGTTGCCCTGCACCTCTGCCTTCCGCTCTTTTCCTCTTTCCTTGTGTGTGGGGATGACAGAGAGGAGTAAGGAGGAGTAAGAGACAGGGGCTCATTCTTTCCAGCCTGATGGAGACTCGTGTGTGAGGCTTATGGGCCAGCTGGCAGTGACTTCTCAGAGGAATGCTTGTTTTCTTTGTCTAGCTGTTGGTCTTTGCCTTTTGCTACCCCCTTTATATTTTCTGGAGAGTCCTGTTTTTCTTAGAGCCTGTTTCCCATAGCAGGTCCTTGCCTCTTTGGAGTCAGAGGCCCTCATCACCTTTCGGGAGGCACGGAGTTTTACTCGCAGTTCAGAACCTGCTCAGTGGGTGTGAGACATAGGAAGACTAGGAGCTTCTTAAGCCTTTGGGATAGTATTTTATTTTTCTTTATTTTTTATTTATTTATTATTATTATTTTTTGCGGTACGCGGGCCTCTCACTATTGCGGCCTCTCCCGTTGTGGAGCACAGGCTCCGGACGCGCAGGCTCAGCGGCCATGGCTCATGGGCCCAGCCGCTCTGCAGCATGTAGGATCTTCCTGGACCGGAGCACGACCCCGTGTCCCCTGCATCGGCAGGCGGACTCTCAACCGCTGCGCCACCAGGGAAGCTCGGGATAGTATTTTATTCTCTGTTTGCTAAGTACCTGGTATAGGGCATGAGACACAGGCACCTACTTAAAGTACTGGCACCCTTAAAAATACTGGCTACTTCTTTGATAACTACCTCATATACCATTGATATCAGAGAAGGGAAAGGAGAGGTGGCTTGGAACCCTCATTTCCTACTGTTTCACCACCTGTCCCCTCTCATTTCCTTTTTCCCTCCTCTCTAGCTCTGAGTGGACTGCCTGAGCAGGACAGAGGTCCAGGTGCAGAGTAGGGGGTGTAACATGACAAGCTACTGTAATGCAGAGGGAGCCCCGAGGGAGGTAGCTTTAGAGTAGGGGCCTGAGTGACAAAGCCAGAGGCCAGTTTATCACCACAGGCCACCGGTTGCTAACTCCTTGAATCAGAAGATCCATCGTCTTTTGAGGATAAACTTTCAACTAAGGCTGCTCTGACCAGTAGCATTCATCCCAGTAGTGGGATGAAGAATGCTTCAACAGGACTGTCTTTGTATGTTTCTTTACTGTTCTCCACATGTCATTTCTTTTGTTATGGTAATGAATTTAGGCAGTTTTACAGGAAAAAAGGCCCAAGGAGCTTAAACACATACTTCCAACCTCACTTGAAACCTTTGTCAATGTACAGAGTCATGTTTTACAGATTGTAAGCAGTGTGTCCCTACTTTTTATTTATTTATATTTTATTGAAGTAGAGTTGATTTACAATATTGTGTTAGTTTCAGGTGTGTTAGTTTCACAGCAAAGCGATTCAGTTATACACACATGCACATATATATATATATATATATATATATATATATATATTCCTTTTTTCTATTCTTTTCCATTATAGTTTATTACAAGATATTGAATATAGTTCCCTGTGCTATACAGTAGGTTCTTGTTGTTTAGCTATTTTATATATAGTAGTGTGTATACGTTAATCCCAAACTCCTAATTTATCCCTCCCCCCAACACCTTTCCCCTTTGGTAAACAGAAGTTTGTTTTCCAGGTCTGTGAGTCTGTTTCTGTTTGGTAAATGAGTTCATTTGTGTCCCTACTGCTTAGAATTTCAGCTGCAGGTGGGAAATCTTTAACTCTTCTAGGAAGGATGACTTTTTACCATAGGAACACCCAGTGCTTTCTCTTTCCTTATTGCATATCTGAAATTTTTTGATAACTAATTTAAATCATAGATGAGACTCAAAATATATTATCCCAAATCTGCAATTTTAGGGTACAGAGTTTTTTGCGCCATAAAGATATTTTCTCAACTTCCTCATGCTGTGGTTTATATTTTTTACATCCAGAATCATAGAAACCTAGAAGTTGAACTCTGAGCAGACTGCAGAGAGCTTGAGTCTTAGACACGTTGCCTCTGGTATCCAGATGAAGGGATGGATCCTCAGTGAGGGCAGGGACAGTCTCAGTGTTCCCAAGGCCTTTCAGTGCTGGCATCAGAACTTAACTCCTTACTCTCACATCAGTGGTTTTGAGAGCTTCGGACTTATGGACTAGTTAAAAAAAGAAATTTTGGTGACTAACATAGAGTTGCCAATTTTTAATTTGACTAATGATGGAAATAAACTCCAACTACCATCTATCACCATAATTTCATAAGGTAAAGAGCACCAAAAGTTTAGTCAGGACATAATCTCAAAATAAAGGACAGTCCTTTAAATTATAGAAAGCTAGCTTGATAGGGGAAAAAGGAAAACAAACCCACTTTATTATTCTAATTTCTCTTATTTTGCTCTGGCCCAGTGAAAATATACAAAGTTTCGGACCTGTGGGAACCCCTGAGCACCTACAGAGAAATGTGATTTGAAAATTGCCTCTGGGTTTGGATTGCTATTTTATCTGTCACTGTTCTCAGTAAAATAAAAAAGTAATAGAGGTAAAATCGTCTAAATAACTGATTCTTACCTAGGATTCATTATATCACAGTTCCTGACTTGTTTAATTTTTTTAAAATTTATTTATTTATTTATTTATTTATTTTTGGCTGCACTTGGTCTTCATTGCTGTGCACAGGCTTTCTCTAGTTGCGGCAAGTGGGGGCTACTCTTCATTGTGGCGTGTGGGCTTCTCAGTGTGGTGGCTTCTCTTGTTGTGGAGCACGGGCTCTAGGCACTCAGGCTTCAGTAGTTGTGGCACGTGGGCTCAGTAGTTGTGGCTCGCGGGCTCTAGAGCACAGGCTCAGTAGTTGTGGTGCACGGGCTTAATTGTTTCGTGGCATGTGGGATCTTCCCGGGCCAGGGCTCGAACCTGTGTCCCCTGCATTGGCAGGC